GCTTTTTATTTTTATGAAGCCTTGTGGGATTTCAGTTACACTTGTAATCTTGCTAATGTCACTCAAGCATATTTTGATATTTTAACTGAGAATTATTTCACACACGATGCACAATAAAATGTACATTTGCTATAAGGCACTGTTGATTTTCAAGTACCTATATCCACAAAGGGACACTTGAGTTCTTGGCAAGGCACTGAACAATTTTATGCTATAGGATGTCATTCGTGTCTAAAAGTCCTCATTTGACTTGCCATGCTCCTTGACATAGTCCACAATATAGCATTTGCCGTGAGTCCCATCTATACTATTGTTATTATGGGCATCAAGTTTTCACCCCAATCTTTTCATCTCTTTTTTGTCTGCCGTATGCAAAATGCAGTATGTTTACCCAATTTTATACCTAAATATAGGATTTATTACTACATAATCAGCAAGTAGAGTGACATTTAAGGCTATGGTGATGCCCCAAACTCTAGTCAATCCATGAACCAAGAGGTCACAGTTCGATTCCTGGTCAAGCATATGCCCGGTTGCAGACTCAATCCCCAGTGTGGGGCATACAGGAGGCAGCCAACCAATGATTCTCTCTCATCATTTATGTTTCTGTCTCTCTCTCTCTCTTTCTCTCTCCCCCTTCTTCTTTGAATTCAATAAAAAAAATATTTTAAAGGAAGAATGAAATCTTTCATTTGCAAAAGTATGGAAGGACCTAGAGGATGTGTGCTAAGTGAAATAAGGTGGTCAGAGAAAAACAAGTATCATATGATTTCACTTATATGTAGAATCTAAAAAACAATATAACAAATAAAATAAAAACAGAGACAGAGAACAGTCTGATGCCTGAGGAGAGGGAGGTTGCAGGGCAGGGTGAAAATGGTTAAGGGATTGAGATGTACAAATCGGTAGTTGCAAAATAGTCAGGGGATGTAAAGCACAGCATAGGAAATATGGTCAATAATCTCTCTATATAAAAGCCTAACTGGCCGTTATAACCAAACAACCAGAATAACCGGTCAACCAGTCGCTGTGATGCTCACTGACCACCAGGGGGCAGATGCGCAACACAGGAGCTGCCCCCTCTCCCGACTCCGCAGCAGTGCTATCGAGAAGTGGCACCCAGCTCCTTGGAGGATGCCTGACTGCTGGGACTCCCCCGCCCCCTTGCGCTGTCTGTGAAAGGGCAGAAAACATCACTGCGACGGCATTGCTGACTTCAGTTTGAGGGAACATTAGAGACACCCCCCCGCCCCCCCGGCCGCCTCCGGGAGCTGGTGTGAGCCTGGTTTGGAGCAAAGAACTCTTAGAGCAGTGGTTCTCAACCTTCCTAATGCCATGACCTTTTAATACAGTTCCTCATGTTGTGGTGGCCCCCAACCATAAAATTATTTTCGTTGCTACTTCATAACTGTAATTTTGCGACTGTTATAAATCGCAATGTAAATATCTGATATGCAGGATGTATTTCCGATGGTCGAGACCCACAGGTTGAGAACCGCTGGATAGTGTACACCTGAAACCAATACAAAATAATACTGAATGTAAACTGTAATTGAAAAAAAAATTTTAAGAAAATCTGGCTCATAATTTGATAAGATTTTGAGGGGCAGAGCCCTAGGTCTCCTATTCTAAATTCAGGGTTCTGAAAGAGAAAGGGTGGAAATGTGAGACCTAATATTGGGACATTTAGATAGAGTTATTTGAATCTCATATTCCTTTAAATCCTACAGATGGGTGGAAGCATTCCACTTTCCCTTGGCAGACAAAAGCAGAGGCCCACTGCCTTATTACCATGAAAAGGTTCTGTGATAGATTTAGCACTTGGCTACAAATTCTTTCTCTCTGATTCTGCATCCTTAAGATGTGACTTGGTATCTCCTCCAAAGAGGTAAAATTTGCAACCCTAGAATATGGATTGGCCTTACATCTTCCTTTTGCCAATAGGGTAACAGCAAATTTAACACAAGCAAGGTTTTGAAAAGTGTTTGTTTTCTTGCTGTTCTTGGAACAGTGGTGACATGTGGACATGCCTTGACCAGCCTGTCCTATGATGAAAGGCATGTGATCCTGTATGACTCCCATTGTTTCAGTTTAAAAGCAGCCAGGCTCCAGGAGCACCCTCACCCAGTTGATGGACTGCTGACTGCAAACACATCAGTGAGCCTCCAAAGCCACCAAAGGAATTACCCAGCTGAGCTGAATCTAAACAGATAACCGATGGAAAAGAAAACTAAGTAAATGGTGGTATTTTCTAAACACTAATTTTGGAGTTGTTCTGGAGCATTTGATAAATGAAAAAGTTCTCCCCTGAGGTGGATGATGTGCAAGGTGATATTTGACTTCTTAAAATGCCTCCCTCCCTCCCTCATTTCTCTAGATTCATAACTTGAAACAGATTTCAGCATGGTCCCAACAGGGGACAGCAGTCCTGGCTATATGAATAGTTTACCTGATTCATCAAAAGGGGGGCAGATTTGGCTAAGACATCCCATTAATAACTGGCTGAATGAATACAAGTGGAGGTGGATCCTCAGGGTGCTGGACAAGGAAGTTATGGAACATAAGGCTCATAAGGCTAGACAGAGTACATTTGTTTGATGTGGGAGCCTTCTCATATGAGGAACACCTAGAACGAGTTCTTCTACACAGCTGGGATCATTGACAGGCTTGGAAATGATGGCAGCCTACAATAAATGAAACGCAGATGCTAGAACCCCGTGGCAAAGTATTGAAGAAGAGGTCAGAATCTTAGGTACATGGCCATATGAGAATGCATTTATTATAGGAGACCAGAGAATCCACTAGCTACTGTGTTCCCCAAGAAGGGACAGAAGATATTCCCTTCACTAAAGCAATAAAGGATTCAGTGATTCTGAGAACATCAGAATCACTGAAAAGTTGACTGATGATCTCTTCCCTAGGACAGACTGATAGGAAATGCTAAAATAGAGCTTGGCTCTTTGGTGTCAACAGGAATAAAATTTCCTGAGGCCCAGGAGGCAGCACTGGTATGTGACTGAAAATGGCAAAATACCAAATGTGCAATGAGGCCAGATCTCCTATAGAGATCTGTTGTATTGGCTAATACACTGTGGTATTTCTAAGGCTAGGAGAAGCCAATGAGGGTATTGCTTTAATTATATAATAAAAAAATTAAAAATAGTATGTGGCAAGCTGATGGTAGCTTTTGCAAAAAAAAAAAAATCATGATCCATCACCCAGTTTTAAACTTGAATCAAAGTTTAAGAGTGCAGCAAGCCATCATACAATGGAACTATAGGGTGTCCCCAAGAAATGTATACACACACTTTGAATAATTATAAAGGCAGTGTTTACTAAAAGGCATTTGATTTTCAAAATTGAGCTATCAGCTGTTACAATGCGTATACATTTTTTTTGAAACATCTTGTATTTGGGATTAGCCTCAAGCAGATCCAGAGAGCACCGGTGATAGGGATGATCAGCCCAGATCCCCATGTCCTTTACCTTGGTGTCAGTTTCCTTTCACTCAGCTCACAACACTGGCCTGTTAGAGTGGAAAACACTTCAACCTGATTCATGGGTAAAATCATGACTCAAGAGCGAAAGTGGAATGGACAGATACTGTCAAGAATGTGTACTGCAACATACAACCCCACCCAGGAGTGACTCTAAAGAACAGCAGTGAAGAGAAATCCTTCCAGAGGGCAGAACAGTATGCAATCTATCTGCTTATCTGTTTTGAACTGGGAAAAGGCAAGCACAAAGATAAGGATATAAATAGACTCTTTGGCAGTGACACATGCCTCACTCTGATATTATTGTTAACATAATTTAAAATAATGCATAATAGTGAAATAAATGTTATTCAGAGGTAGAAAGTGTATAGCAAGTCCCAAGGATTTTTCTGGACAGAGAATTACAGCAGACAAAGAATTAAAAACTGAACTAGGTGTAAAAGGATTAAGCCAGGATTGAGTATTTAGGAACTTAGTGCTCTAAACCCTGCCTGCCCCTTCCCTACCCTGCTCCCCACCCCCCGCACCCTCCCTCCCACCCAGTGATTTTTATCTTACTAATTCTTACTAGGGTAAACCATTCACCAGATATTTTCATACCTTATTTCATCTGTCCTTTTGCTGCCAGGAAGAAAATCCCACAACAGTATTCTCAAACCTGGTTGCACTAGAGTTACCAGTTTTATCATTTTGTTTTTATGAAAGACACTAGGATCTCTTTTCTAGAGAGTTCTGAAGCCCTAGGAAATACTAATCTGCAGCCAGAATTCAAAAGCATTGACGAGAGAGAGAGAGAGAGAGAGAGAGAGAGAGAGAGAGAGAGAGAGAGAGAGCCACAAAGAACAGAATTGACCAAGAGACTTTATGGAAACTGAACTGGTAAAGAAAGGCAAGACTCACCTTCAGAGAGATAACCACTACAAACATTTCCAAAGTTGGACTGCAATGGCTCCAAGAACAAGCATGACCCTCTGTAACTAGCCTGTCCCTATGGAATCTTTCTTCATTAATTCAAATGAGCTCACACGTTAAACCTCAATAAAATGTCACCTCATGGGTAAAACTGTACCTGACACATTTTTTTTCTTCCTTTTGTGCTCCAACACTAGTTATGGAAACTATCATCATCTGATTTGATTAACAATAAACAGAACATGTTTCTACCATGTATCTTACTCATTTGCACATTTTGTCAATAGTGTATAGCATAGTACCTGGCACATGGTAGGCATCAACATATACATATTAGCTTTAATATGAATAATCCTCTTAGTACAAACATTAGCATTGAGCAGCAGGATACACAGCATGTAAGAGTGTGGACTCCAGAGTCAGACAAGAAACAAATTTCAACTTTCCCTTCCTACTTATAGCATAGTTTCCCCATCTGTAAAATAGTTTCCCCATCGTACCATATCCAAGATTATTATAATTAAGGAACTACTAGTAAATGGCATAATATATTTAGAGAGATAAGAAAGTGGAACAAAGTAAATATTAAGATTTAAGGATA